TTTTTAGGTCAAATCCAGTCATTACCAGAAAAAAGTAAGAATAATTTTTAAATAAATAATAATAGTCATAATAATCATATTTGTTTAATTTTTAGCACCGCGTGAACTTGCTCAGACGGCGTACTATCTGGCAACGAAAAGGTGGTGGTTTTGTTGTGAATAGACACACATACTCACCTAATCCTTTCTTCTAGTATTTTACTCACATCATTTTGTGTCAAATATCCACCTGATCTTATTGCATGTTTTTGTATTCATTTGGCTGCTGCTTGGCTCAAAATCGAAGTAAGAAAAACGAATTCTTTTATATTATGATATTTATTTTATATAATTTTTCCAGATTCCTCCACCAGCATCTACGACTGCAACGATTAATGGATCTGATACAGCAGTAACTGAAAATACATCAAATAAACGTTGGTTTCATCTTGTTAATGAATCATTTAGTGAAAAACAACTTGGAGGTAAGAAGAATATAATTTTAATAGACAAAAAAAGACGGAGTAGAATTCATTTAATTTTTATTATTTAGAACTTGCTGATGAATTTCTTGCTATCTATGAAAAATGTCCAGAAAAAATCAAGAAAAAACTTGTTTATCAAAGCGAACGAGTTTGTCTAATTTATCTCTACCTTTATTTTTTCTCTATTTCATTATTTGCTTAAAGCAATCACAATCAAATCCAAATGAAGGTGGTGCATCTTCATCTCAACATAATCTATCCGCATCTAATGCTCAATTACGTCCAACAGATTTGGCTGATAGTGTCGTACCACAAGGTTCTACTCGTATTAAAACTGAAATTAAAACTGAATCTCGACCAAATCAACCACCATTACCGCAAAGTCGACCTGTACAACCACCACTTCCACCACCATCTCAAACATCATCCGGTGCTATAAAACGAGAACCATCAGCAGCAGCTCCAACATTTTCATCATCAAATCGTCCACCGGTGTCATCACATCCTCCACCATTTCAACATCCACCATCTTCACATTATCAAGCTCATCATCATGTTAATAATAATTACAATCAACATTCTCGTTATCCACCACAACAAACCCGTCCTGGACTACCGCCTCCAAATCGATCATCACAACAACAACAACAACCACCACTTCCACCTCCACAACATAGTAAGATACAACTTTCTAAATACTATTTGAATTTGACTAACTTAAGTGTAATCAGAAAGATTTCTTGAGATTGAGGAATACGTAATGTTACCAATGAGAAATGATCAAATGAGTACATGAGTTTCTTCAAACAATAA